ACGTTTCAATTCAATGGTCAAGGATTCATTACTTACTTGCACAAATGGTGCAATTAAGGAGGTGTCTATTTGATCTACGTCACCAATTCCTGCAGTAAGATTATATACAGAGTAATAATTAGTTCTGTTGATCATGGATTAGCCTAGAGGATATAGCGGAAGAGTTAAATATAATGAACCATTGTTGATAACCCACACAGGCTCGGCATCTAAATCTTCGGCCAGCTGCAAAGAGAAAAAAAAAAAAGACTAATTATAACAAAATTACTGGTTAACTAATAATTATGTAATGACATTTATATATTTAAATTAATTTTATTACTTTCCCAAGAAAATTGCATTGATGAAGTGACAATTAAAATATAATGATACGGCGAGTACAATGTAGAAGTGTTTTACTTAATCACCTGAAGATATTCAAGGTAGCCCAGACCATCATCACTCCAGTAACCCCACACATCATTAAGATGTCCTGGTCTTTCTTCCCATGGTCCGACGGTGTCTTTCCATCGAAAAGCATTCCTTAGATAGTTGCCTTCAACGTAACATCCACCTACATTTTAATATATAGTTGCATCATAAGAAGTATTAGTGCATAGTACACATTTTTAAGCATTCAAAACAATACTAGAGTTTTTATATTTGTGAAATACCCGGAAATCTAAGGAACCTTGGCTTCAAGTTGAGAAGCATTTCCATCAAATCGTTTCGGAATCCATGACCCTAAACAACAAATTCATGTTTAATTCAAATTTGACGTCTTACAACCCGAAAAAACAGTTACTCCGTATTTATTTATTACGTATGTAAAAATAATACGAGTACGTAGTAATTCGATCACCTTGTATGTGTCAATTGGCATAGCAGAAACTTGATCAAGCCAAATGGTTCCTTTTTGGCTGGTAGTGAATTGAAGTCTGGCTGTTTTTTATGAACCTCTGGCTTTCAATGTGATCTCTATTTTTGTCCATTTTTTAACTATTGCAGCATCAACTCTGCATCAATAATAAAAGTAATCACATTCACATATTAATGATAGTATGAAACTACACCTATTATGTTGCTAATGGGTCCGATTTGGTCCAGGTTTGTTTTAGGCGATTTCAATCGTGACTATCGTGTCATATGAATGTATTTTTTTTACAAGCATTTATGTAACATCAACTAATAGTAGTATTGATATTTATATTAAGGTATATATGCTAGAAAAATAGTTTATCATGCATATCATAGTTTTGGGTCGTCATGTATGTCAATATAAATTGGGCTTATATCAACAAATAACAAGTCACTGTAATATAGCATAATTATTTATGTATATGTACTTACGCAATATGTTGAAAGGCAAGTGTTTTTGTCCCATCTATTATGGGCATTAATTTATACTATACAACATGATATAGCGTGCTCCATATTGGGTAATTTAACATTCATAAATTAGGTAAAATTTCAAAAAAATTGGATTCCTCAATTTCATTTTGTCTGATTATTGTAAAAGAACAATGAAAAAGAAAATTGTAGAAACATGCATGCATGTGGAAATCAAATTGCATTGGTTATAATTGGCCATCTAGTACATTTTTTTATTGTTTTCTTTCCAAACTTACTAGAAAAAATTGAGAAATTAAAAGAAATCTAAAATATCTCTAAACTCTGTAATTTCAAACATTAAGCCAACCAACCAGCGAAACTAGCTAGGTAAATACAGAGTAATATTAATGCAAGTTATATAAAAACAAAAAAGCAAAAAATAAAAAATAAAAAAAAATTGACGTAGTTATCAAACGCGGAGTACTGTAATAATTAAACCTTATTTGTAGTAACAATAATTAATGTAGCTTCTAATTAATGAAGCAATAACATTATTTGTAGTAACATTATTTGCAATAACAAAAGGAAAATGAAGCAGTCCACATGTAAAATAGATAAAGTAGCTTCTAATTAATGAAGCAATAACATTAGTTTCTCTCACTTTTTTTTGGTCTACTTCAACTCACTTTTTCGTTGACTTTTTTTCTTGATCATATAGTATGAATAGGAGTGGTTCTAAGCATGTACAGGGTGGTCGATCGCACCGGGTCTCTAAATGAAAATACTATAAAAGGGCCTAATATTTGAAACTTACTTATACAAAGTACAGGGAAATAACTACTACAAAAAGAGTGTTTTATCGACGCTGGGCCCTCAACGCTAGGGAAGGAGCGTCAGCTAAAAGTTATACTATGCATCTTTTGTCGACGCTTTTTATAGGCGAAATTAATTTTCGACATAATTAGCGTCGAGAAACTGTAGCACGTGCCCCACACGTGAATGCAAACTCCTTACTACTCAGTTATGAACCCTAACTTTTCTTCTCCCCTTCATTCATAATCCTTCAAACTCAGATCTTTATCCCTCTTTGAGGCGATTTTGAAATTACGTATATGGATTATAAATTCAAATTTTCGCCCCTCTTTGAATCAATTTCGAAGAGTGTTACATCAGTTTCAAACTCAGATCTTCGTCCCTCTCCGATTCTATTTCGAAATGAGGTAAAACAATTTAAATTTAGATATTTGTCTCTCTAAATCAATTTCAAATTAAGGTACATCAATTTCAAATTCAGATCTTTGTCTAATTGTAATCAATTTCGTCCCTCATATATGTGCCGATAATATGATGTACATCTTTTTCTTCGGTCAGACTATGGGTTCAATTGATGAACAATAGAGATTTCAAGGTTTCGTTATGTATATAAACTAGGTGTGAAGCCCGTGCGATGCACGGGTTTGGTAATATTTTTTTTTATTATTATTGTTAAATAAGAACAGATAAAGTCATAAATATGAAGACATCAATTATTACTGTAATGGATTAGCTATTACAATTATTTTTTAAGAAAAGGAAAATTGTTACAATTAATTAAAATCTACTTTTTATTAATAATATAATTAAAATTCAATTTGCTTATATTTTTTTGTAAAATGTCTCATTATTTTTAAATATTAGAGTTGGCAAACTTCTCGTATTGTGTCAAGTTAACCCATTTAAACAGATATTTATTTATTTATTTATTTTTCGACGGAAAGTAGTTATTTCTCTAAAGCAAAGAATAAAATGGTAAAAAAAATTGTGGTTGAAACAAAATGGACCCATCTACGAATATGAAAGATATACAAATACAAACTATCCATCGTTAATCAACTCACCTTCAAAATTCATAGATACCGTTAATTTCCCACTGAAATGTTAGTTTCTCCATTTTCCTCTAAATTCACGACTGTAACAATCAAAATCCCTAATTCACAAATTCTTAAATCCCTAAATTCAATCAAATTCCCCCAATTTTTGTAATCAAATTCAAAGATTATCTTCGTGCTTGCATTTTATATCACACGTGGATTAATGATGGTTGAGGCTGTAGTCATATCTTATTTCAACTACAAAGTTTTTTTTTAATCAATTATTTTCGCTATTTTTGGGTAGATTTAACATATTATTTAAGATTTGTATCTTATTGGTAAATTATTAAAATTGATATAACAATTCAAAAATAAAGGTAAACAAAAGTATTAAGTATATGATTTGTTGTTAATAATAAAACATATATAAAAGAAAACTATCATCTAGAATCTCGAAAGTTGTTACATAATAAAAAAATTAAAAAGCTAACATAAGTATTATTTGCTACTATCATCTAAATATCTATTTCTTGAATATTATAAAAATTATTGTTGATGCGTATTTTATTTGTGTCGTATGATGTGTTAGATCTGCATGTAGAAAAACATTTAGTAAATAAAACATAAACATATAATTTTAATTTTCATATTTTTACAATTATTAAATACAATCAAATAATTTTCATAGGTTAAAAAGATATGGTAAATTATTAAATACAATCAAATAATATTTTTCAAATTATAATTTCTAATGAATTAACCTTTGATGCGTGGAATGTCCAAACTAATCAAACTATTATGCTTTCGAAAGTTCAAAACATCAAAAAGCCTTGATACGTGTACTATAATTTTCCAATCATTTTTGGTTGAATTAAGTTCTCGAATTGACGAAGTAGACCTAAGAAAACAATACAATGAAAAAAATAGTTAAAAATATTACCAGTAATTATAATTTGAAAAAAAAATTGAGTTTAAGGAATTACACCGACATTTTCTTAAACCTCAATATGCAATTTGTTTTGTATGAGGTATTGTGTGATTCTTTGATGGTGTGTGAATTAAATTAATGCCTATTTATAATAATAACAAATTATAAGCTAATTAAATTAATTTATATCTTTTTCCCAACTTAAATTTTATCATTTTATTAACTATTGAAACAATTGATAATATTTTGCTTGACTGATAAAATAGATAAAAAAAATAAAAATTGCCTTGATAAATTATAGAAGGCCGCAATCTTTTGGCAAATTGCCTTGATAAGGCTTATCTTTTATTGGGATCACGTATTTGAAAATACTATGAATTAATTCATCTTTGTACAAAATGTCTTATACCTTTCATTTCATGATCAAAATTCAAAATGTTCTTATTTTATTTTGTAACGTACTTTGAATCATTGAAGGAATCTTTAAGTCCCTTTATATTCAAAATCTACTAATACTCTCATGGATAACAATAATTTAAAAATAATAAAAATTTATAGATATATCAAATCTTTCTTCTTATTTTCTTATTGGTCGAAAAAAGTATATTTTTAATTCAAAAATAAATACAAACTTTTATTCTTATTGGTCGAAATAATGATATTTCTTACGTGGCAAACGAATTTTTTAATTCCAAAATAAAATAGAAATTACGTGGCAAAATTCTTAAATATCATTCGTCACTTTTGTTTAGGTGGCAAACGAATTTTTTAATTTCAAAATAAAATAGAAATCTAATTTTTAATTGGTCGAAAACATACCTTTGCTTACGTGGCGCACCGAATACTCTCTAAAAATGCCTACTTTATATATATATATATTAGATTATTTGGTTTAATTTTGTGCTACAGAATTCAGGTGCAATTGTGGTCGTGCTGTTCACGAAAATGAGAGAGAGATTCTTCAAATCAAACTCTCTTCTATGTTCTCTTTAGTTCGGATTTCAGGATTCAATTCAAAAATGGCGAACCAAGAAGAGATTAAGCATGAATGATAATATACTATTGGCTTGAGGTTAATCTTCTTTGTACCTCTCATTTTTTTAACATCTCAATTCCATCATTTTGGTAGTAGTTTAGACAAACTAACTCCAATTTTTCCCCAAAATTTTTAGTTAAATGGAGTGGAGCTATGAGGTTGCAACAGCAAATACTGTGATTCCAGTAAAGGTTTTGGTCTATTTCAAGTACTAATGCTTCTGATGGTTAGTTTTATGTATCTTCCATAGTTTAAACCGATTTTTATCTGGGCAATTATATATTTCTTGATTTAAAAACATGTCAGCTTGATGTTTAGTTTTGGTCTATATGATATAATATGATTGCTTACTTTATATTGTTCTTGGTTTTCTTGGAAATATGTCATATGGGGTTTTGTTGGTTGTGCCACTTGATTTGGCACTAACCTATGAGAGTTTTGTTGGTTGTTCTTTCTTGGTTTTGTACTAATGAGTTGATTTTGTGATGGAAATATTAGAGAATGTTAGGTGCTAGAGTTTACAAGTTTATAAAATTGCCAAAAGTTAAAACCTGAGTGAGGAATTAGATACACCCTCCATAGATGTAAAAACTCAGATCAACTTGTAGTTTAATATTCTGAGGGCTAAACACCCATTTCAGTACATGTTGTTTCTATTGGGTATGATAATGAATTTCACTTCTGATTAACTATTACATTTTGGTATCTAGTTTATCTTCCTAATGAAATTTTATTTCCTGACATATTTAGAGTGGGTGCTGTCAAAGTCTTCCTTTTCTTTAGATGCTATTTTTGATGGTCTTTCATCAGTTTTATGCACAAGCAGTCTCGTGGCTATGGCAACAATAACTGAGGATGATTTATGATGTTCCTGGCTCCACGATATATGTGGTGGTAGTTGGCACAACTACACAAGCTAAGCTATACCGAGCTTTAGAAAAGATTCTCCTGACACATGGTTTGCTTCCATCCATTATTGACTGATACGAGTCTTCTGAAAATTTTAACTGCGTTTTTATATACATTGCTAAAGTTGCCATTAGTATCATACTGATACATATCGTGCTTTCTTAGTGGAAACTTTTAGTTTTCTCACAAAATGATCTTAGACGAGTGTGGTCTGGTTTAATCTAATTGAAGATCTTAGCTTTTATAACTACTCCGTTGATTAGTTAGTGTGCTCAGATTCAATATTGGCACGTTCTTACATCGAGTTTGCTTACTTTCTGTTTTTGCTACACTTGGTGGCAAGTCCTCAGCTCTCAGCTAGTTTGCTTACTTTCTGTCATGCTTCAAGGAAGACCTGCGGCAAGCTAATATAACTTTACAGTTTTATTAAGGGCTTAATCTTTATCTGATAAAATGCTCTTCCAATTCTGCCATTTCATTTTTAAGCTAACTGAAATACTATAAATAGCAGGTTTCTGCTGGGATGATCACTTACCCGGGAGTCAGGACAGGACTTAAATATTTTACTTACTTCCTAACCAGGTATAACTACACATATTTACTTGGTTTTGACGTTTCGTTAGTAGTATATATTTCTATATTCACATTCATATAAGTAAGGATGATATGTACTACTCAAACAGTAAGGAGCTACAATGAGTCAACGAATGCCCTGATATAAAAGTCACAGTGTGACGCTTGCCTATTATAGTCACAATGTTGACTTTAAAAAAAAAAAATTCAGCTCTTTACTTGTACGTGTTTCACATTCCTGATTCGGTTTCTGGTGAATTCTGGCAATACAGAGTTACAGACTACAGAGAATGTACTTGGAGATCGAATTTACTTATTTTATTTTTACAGCTTTCTCATCTTAAAACTTGAGAAAGTTATAAGTCTTGATACATATAAGCCAAGATCAATGCGAAATTATCTATGGATCTAACTAACTCAATAAGGTGTATATTTTTTTGCCTATCTTAGATTCAAGTAAGTCTTCTAGAATCTATAGCAGTGGTAAATCTTTAGAAATAATTTGTGTACATGTCAATTCAATATGTTTTAAGGTGGTGCATGATAATCTGATTGAGAAGGTTGTTATTACTTTCTAGGAATTTCCACTTTGATATGTTCTTGAGGTAGTCCATTTGGAGAAGACAAAAAAGTTGTCGGGTTTATTAATTAGAAATTGCAGATCCATGAGCTGTTGAAGGGACTTAGTTTTACTTTCTAGTTCTCCCTCTCCCTCCCCCCCCCCCCCCCCCCCCCAACATACACCACCACCACCAAAATGATCTTGGTGAGAAGAGTATTAATATCTATTATGGAATTTACTAGTGACCAAGGGTATCAAGTTTTGGATGATTGCTAGTTCAAGTACAATTAAATGACATCTGCTCGGCTGCCTTATGTTTGATAATTAAATTTTATGGAATAAGAAGATTTGTGGCTTAGAGGGGTCTATTTTTCATGACATTATTAAATAGGTATTTTTTTGTCTCTAGAGTACCATGAGATTCCCCATGAAATTTGTTGCCTAGACTCGTGAAGTAAATCTCCAGTGAACTTTTGGCAGTTAGATTCTGATTTCTGATGCTGGTAGTCACATTTGGAAAGCAAGTGATGCCAATGTTGCTAGCAGGCTGTGTACCCTTGCTATTGCTGGTTTAAACTTTGCAGAGGTGGGAGGAGAGTAAATTAAAGCTGTAACATTGATGTCATACCTTTTCCAGTGTTTTGAGTTGTGTTTGTTAATTGAGGGTCAAAGAGAGAGACATAAGATGCTAAAGGTTTAAGATCTTAAATTATCTACTATAGTTGCCTGTTCAGTTATGCATTTTGCTGTTGACAGGAATTGTTATTTGCAAAGATCTTGTTAGCTTCTGAATCTAGAGGAGGAATTATGAGAAGCTATTTGTATCTAAGCATTTCTCTACACTCACGACAACTTAATAATTAAAAATTCAGTCTTTGAACTAGAAGTCGTGATCATTGTATTGATGAGATTGACCTATATGCATGTAAAAGGAGGGGGGGGGGGGTGTTTACAGTAGAATGGAACATGACTCATGTGAATTAATCAGTTAAGTTGCTGCTAATATATTCTGATTGCTAAATAATTTTTATAAATGCATATGCAGGGATACCTTGACCCATCAACTGGCAGATAAAAGCGACGTGTACATCCTGGGACTAATTCTGGAGCTACAGGCTACAGGTAAAAGGAGATTGAGCAGCTTTGTTAGATTTGACAATCAAAATAATTTAGGAAAAAATTTGCTGTAATAAGTATTACTTTTCTTATTTTTAGATTACTTAATAAGTCTTGTTGCCAACAAATAAAAGTTGAACAAAGTACTGTAAAGTATTTTTTTTTTTTTTTTAAAGTACATTATAAAAATTTTAGATTTTTTATTCTTAGTTGTTAGTCACATTTTGTTTTATGCTTTAATTTAATTAGCTTGCAATAAATATACGGAGTAGTTGTTGGTGAAAAAAAAATCATACACATATATACATTGAAATAAAAAAGTAACAAATTCTCGACGCTTTTCTGAGTAGAGAATTGTTTGCCATTTGGAAATTTGATGATGAAATTCTTGACGCCAAAAATCGTCCAGAATAAGGGCGACGACAAAAAGTGACGAATTTTTTAACTGTAGACTTGAAAAAGTGTCGAAAAACTTGAGAAATTGCGCGTACCAATGCACATGTGGACGCTTCATATAATAATTAGGACATAATAGCATAGAGAATCTCGACGCTTTTAAGTATCCTGCAAAATTCTCGACTCACGTTTTTCGACGCGTTTCTAAAGCGTTTGAGAAAAATCCTCGACGCTTTTTCGTGTCCAAAATAGCATAACAAGCGTTGCAAAAATAAAAAATTCTAGTAGTGAAACTTGTTAATCAATAATGTATTCTTCAATTTTATCATAAAATTTATAATTTAGTAAAATTATTTTTCTTACGAAAATGATTTTAAGGCCAATTAAACAAAATTGCACCGGGCCATTTTTAGTGTTAGTATTTGTAGCCCCGTCTCTGTGTATGAATTTTTATTTTTATTTTTATTTTTTTGAGGAAAGATCATACTGTATGATTCATAACCCTTCAATTATTTTCCCCCCTTTTTTTTTAGCAAATTTTATCAATTTAAATATTTTATATATTGATTATCATGTAATATGCACAATTTTATCACCTCCTTTTCCTAAATTTTTTAACACTCACTCATATTTTCACATTTTCACATTACCTCTTACCTTTATTCTATAAGTATTCCTCCAAACCACTCACCTACCCTTCTTTAAAAAATAATCATAATCTATATAGCTACATTATAATAAATAAATAAATGAATAAATAAAAAAATAAAATATAAAGATGGTATTTGTTTATTAATTTGTAAATTATTAAAAATAGTAAGTATTTAAAACTTAATACTTTATGAGATTTCTTATGCGAGAACGAAGCACAAAATTTATATATAAATAAGATGTCCAAAAATAAAAAAAATACAATGCTCAAACCATAAATTTCTAATTCAATCTACATACATAATTATCATTATTAAATTATATAACACTTTCTCATAGATATTTAATTAATATCTATAATTATGTCAAAATTTGTCCATATATCCTCTCCATTTATATATAGATAAACTAGGGTCTACTTGAATATGTAGGTTAGAATTTCAAATTATACACCTTCTTCCTAAAAAACTCCCTTGAAAGAAAGGGTTTTCTCTCTCGAGAAAAAGAGCGACCCCTATCTCTCTGATGAGCTGCTACCGGATTCCGGTGGTTTTTTGACCAATTAATGAGGCCTTTTTGCTGCAATTCAATGGCGGAAGAGATTACAGACCTTTGCTCTCATCTCCGATCGAGGAAGAGGAAAAAACAGCGATGGACCTTGGCGCAATTAACCTAAACGAGGATGACAATAATCTGGAACTCATGTTATTGGGTAAACTCTTAACAAAGAGATCTTTCAATGTTGATGCTTTCAAGAAGACGATGACAAGGGTATGGGCTCCTGCTCACGGCCTAGCAATTAGGGTTCTTAAACCCAATTTATTTGCATTCCAATTTTTCCATTGGAAGGATTTGGAGAAGGTGCTTAAAGGCAGGCCATGGTGCTTTGATAATATGCTTGTGTTATTGAAAAAAATTGATGGTAGTAAACAGCCTGAGGAGGTGAATTTATCTGATTCACCCTTTTGGGTTCGAATAAAGAATATGCCCTTCAATTGAAGATCTGATACCCATGTCAGAGCTTTATTGGAGGGGATGGGTGAAGTTTTAGAAACTGAGGAAGACGTTTTAGGGATTGGTTGGTATCGTTGAGTTAGAGGAATGCTTGATGCGTCCAAACCTCTTCGGCGTTTCCAGAAAATTATAGACCGTAGGGGAAGAGAATTGCAGGTTGATTTTGCTTATGAACGACTTTCGTTCTTCTGTTTTGCGTGTGGGATTATGGGGCATTCTAAGAAGAATTGCCATAGAGTTTCAGAAGAAGAGAAGTAGGAGAAGCTAGGGTGGAGCACTTCACTGAAAGTTATCCCAAGAAAAGGGCGCTCAAAAGAAGATGAGGAAGTGGAGTCCCTGAAATTAGCTAAAAAGCTCCAATTTGTGACAAAACAGCTTGATGAGGAGTGTGCTGTGATCAGGAAGGAGGATCCCTATCCCTAGAACTCGTCACTGCAAGGCTTGAACACTGCTGCCGCCCAAACAATCACGACAAAGGCGATAGCAATCTGATCTTCTGATGTACAACAGACAGAGTATGTATTTAAAGCAAGTGAAGTTCAGAACATGTCGACTGGTTCTATCTCTAAGCTACATATTCTAAATGACAAACCAAGGATTCGTAGTTGGAAGAGGTTGGCTAGAGACAGCGCAGTGAGGGGTATTCAGGAGAAGTGACCAAAATCTCTCAAACGTGCTCGAGGAAAGGATACTGATGTGATGGAGGAAGAGGTGGCTGGGTGAAGCGTGTTAAATTTGATACAACCACTATGGACATGATGATGGCGGCGGAGGTTGGTACAAACCAACCCCGCCTCTCCGGATGATTGTACTGTGTTGGAATTGCCAGGGATTGGGCAACTACCCGACACTTCGACAACTTCGAAGGTGGAGCAATATTCATGCCCTCGACATAATTTTTGTGTCGGAAACAATGATAAAGAATAATGCAGTAGAGAAATTAAAAGAGAATCTTGGCTTTTCAAATGCTTTTGGTGTGTCAAGTAAAGGAAATGGGGGTGGTGTGTGCTTATACTGGAGGGAGGAGGTAGATTTTAGCCTAGTCCTTTTCACAAAAACATATTTGCGGAGATGTTACTAGCTCTGAGGGGAAGTGGAGGTTTGTCGGGATGTATGGCTGGCTAAATGAGGAAGACAAGCACAAAACTTGGATTTTAATCTGACACCTTTGTGAGGAAAAAAATTTGCCAATCCTGCTTGGGGGACATTTCAATGAGGTTCTACAATATGGTGAGATTGAAGGTAGGGCAGAGAAAGAAAGGAAGGAATTAGCCAACTTTCGCGAGGCGTTAGATGACTGCAGTCTTAGGGGCTTGGGGTATGAGGGGTGCTGGTATACAAGGGAGAAGGGTAATTCGTTGGCTACTCGCATAAGGGAACGGCTTGACTGCTTCATTGCCTCACGCTCGTGGCATGCTCTTTTCCAAAACCATACTGTAGAACACTTAGTCAGGTATAAATCAGAACATAAAGCTATTGCACTCAGACACCTTGAAGGGAAAGCCAGGAAAAAGAAGAGAAGAAAGGAGTTTAAGTTCGAGACTTGTTGGCTCTTAGATAATACTTGTGAGCTTGCTGTAAAACAAGCTTGGGACGACTCAAATGGTTCACCTACCATCGAAAGGCTTGCGACAGTCGCTAGGGGTTTGGGGCACTGGAGCAAAAAGAAATTTAACAAGCTGAACGATCAAATTGCAGACACTGAAAAGGCTCTCCAAGATGTGCAACAAGGGGGAATTTTAAATGATAGTATTGCTGAATGTGCAAAGCTGGAGAAAATTTTAGATGACTTGAATGATAAAGCTGAGGCCTATTGGTACATCCGGAGCAGAGTATCGGAAGTGCGTGATGGGGACAAAAATACTAAGCATTTTCATCACAAAGCCTCCTAACGGAAAAAGAAGAATTTTATCACTAGCATCCTCGACAATAATAATGAGTGGCAGACGGAGGACGAGGAGATTGAGAGAATTATCACCCACCGCTTTGAGAACCTGTTTTCATCATCAAACTCGGAGGATGTAACTATTCATGATGTACTCAGCAATGTCAGGCCAAGTATCACATCTGAAATTAATAGAGAGCTTTTGAGACCGTTTACAAAGGATGAAATCCTTGCAGCACTCAAGCAAATGCATCCTTGTAAAGCCCCGGGACCGGACGGAATGCACGCCATATTTTACCAACGATCTTGGCACATTGTTGGTGATGAGGTGACTTCTTTTGTTAGTAATATTTTACATGGTCGTACTTCCCCTAGCTATGTAAATAATACTAACATTATTGTTCTTATTCCCAAAGTTAATAAGCATGTTTGTACTTTTGAGTATGGTCCTATTTCCTTGTGTAATGTATAAACTGGTGTCAAAATCGATTGTCCTCATATTAAAAAATTCTCCCTGATATTGTCTCTGAAAATCAAAGTGCCTTAGTGCCGGGGCGCCTTATTACAGATAATACTCTGATTGCTCTTGAGATATTCCATACTATGAAAAGCAAAAGCAATGGGAAGAAGGGAACTATGGCTATGAAGCTTGACATGAGTAAAGCGTATGATAGGGTAGAGTGGGGTTTTCTACAGAAATTACTTCTTATGATGGGCTTTGATGGAAGATGGGTGAACCTGGTGATGGATTGTGTGTCGTTAGTGTCATACTCTTTCGTAATTAATGGAGGAGTATGTGGCTCGGTTCGCCCCACTTGGGGGCTTCGACAAAGGGATCCCTTATTCTTGTATTTGTTTATCCTTGTGGCTGATGTGTTTTCAAATATGATACAAAATAAAATCCGAGGAAGACAGTTACATGGAGCAAAAGCTAGTCGCAATGGGCCTGAAATATCTCATCTTCTTTTTGCTGATGACAGTTTACTCTTTATTCGAGCTAACCGGCAGGGATGTTCAGTTGTAGTTGATATTCTCAACCCGTATAAAGGATCATCGTGGCAGAAAATTAATTATGATAAATCGGAAGTCTCGTTTAGTATATGGGTTAGTCTAGAGCAAAGGGAAGAGTTGATGAATTTTCTGAATATGCGGCAAGTGGAGAGACATGATGAGAAATATTTGGGCATTCCGACAATCGTTGGCAGATCGAAAAGAGCGGTTTTTGAGGTGGTTATTGATAGGATCTAGAAAACGTTGCAGGGGTGGAAAGAGAAACTTTTCTCTAGGGGGGCAAAGAGGTTCTCCTAAAATCGGTTATTCAGGCTATCCTGACGTATCTTATGGCCGTCTACAAATTTCCAGGAGTAATTATTCAAAAATTTCACTCTGTCATGGCTCATTTCTAGTGGGGTTCGGATGGGACAAAGAGGAAAATACACTAGAAAAATTGGAAC